GCCATCTTGTCTAGACTGTGTTTTTGCCAAGAAAGGTTGGACCAGATGATCCTTGAGGTCCCTTCCAACCTGGGATTCTATGAATAGTTCGTATGTAAAAACATACACAAGCTGTGAAGCTGATCTCACATAGCAACAGGTCACAAAACACTCAAAAGGCCTATTTTTAAGGGCAGATAGTAAAAATACTTTCCAAAACTATTGTGAAACAAAAGAACGAAGTCACATTTGTGAACGACAGGTGTTTCTTTCTTGTAATCCAGCAGCATTTCAAGACACAGAGGCTGGCAGAACTGCCTGAACATGACATGCAATCATAGATGTCAATGAAGGAATGGGGAAAAATGATGGAAGGAAGATCACAGCCCATAACAAAAGCAAAAAATAACCATATAGCATCACCACTATGTACCTGCTTAGAGATACTGTGTTGAACATACCATGGTCATAGTGTAGAGCTGCTTCAGTGAGTTCATAGTTCTCAAGAGAATCACCACAATTCCACCACCTTCTACTGTTTCAACAGTTCTAGCTAGCAGGTTTGGAGTCAAGGCCTCAAAATCCTAGGAAATAAATAAAATTTCGAAGTTGCCTAGAGTTGATCAGTATGACTAGCACCTACAAAAAGGAACAGAAAGGCTGAAAACATTATTTCTCAAAGCTTAATTCACACTTAACATTTGCAGTAACAAACATCACATTAAAATTCTACCAGCAAGGTTATCTCATCTTCACAAAACTTGTAAAAGACACATAATGTCATCATAATTGAAATAACAGAACCAACAAATACTATTCCTGCAGCACTTAAGACTGAAAGCAATTGATAGAAGTGCAACGTCCTTCTTAACTCAAAAGTTTAACTCCTTACCTGAAGTACACACATGCCGAAAGTGTTCCCAAGAATCTTATGAGTTTCATTATAATAGCAGTAGCGAATGTTTGTGGCTGCTATAAATAACTCAAAAGGATCATCATCCTTTATGTTTAAAGTCCCACTTTTAATCTTCTTCTGTAGTTGTCTCATCCTCTTCTTCCGGTGGCTAGAGAACAAAATTATACAGGAGTTTTCTTGGAAGAAGGTTTGAGAAAAGTGTATTCAGGCCTACGTTCAAGTCTAACTGGAAGCCAGAGTGCAGCCTCCAAGGAAATCTTGGATCACATTTGCTGCTTTCATGACATATTCCCCCATGACTTCAGCCCCAAGAGGTGGCTGTCACACAGAACCAGCTGGTTTTGCAAGAAACCGCTTGGTTGGAATCACGGTTTGAGGTAATGCTCCCTTCCTGACTGTGTGCAGACTGTAAGTATGCACACAAATCTATGAATTAAAATTTTAAATGCTTTTTCAAAATGAAGGCATACTAATGCTTAATCTGCATTCAGGCATAAATATTACTGAGGCTAAAAAGCTGAGGAATTAAGTTTTGGCCTTCTGAGGTTAAGAAAGTGAGGGAGAGATTGGTCCAGGACAGCAGAATTAGCATTAGAGCTACAGAAAGAAACCTGAAGTGCCTAGTGCTGGTGTCAACTGTATTACAGATGCCAAATTTTAGTTCTGGAAGACCAAACATCCCATAGCTCCTCCAAGAACAAATCTTGTTTCTCCTTACAACTGAATCATGCAACCTAAGCTCAGCAGACCAGTCACAGAGCTTTTGCTTCACACAAGACACAAGAGATATTTTACCTGCTAAATCCCAGCTCTTTTTTGTAACACCATAGGACAGAGGGTCTGGCCTTCACAGTTGCTTTAGACAACATGTGATGAAGTATAACCACCTGCCAAAACACAGAAACGTTCATGAACAACTATATTCACAAGTTAACATCAAAGAGTAAAATATTTTGCTGTACTTGATTTTGTGTTTTCTACCAAGCGACTCTCTGCAAAACAGAAGGATCCCTTGGCATGTTACACTCCCTTTTTACACAGATCTGTGTATCTGTGCCTTCTCCGGGGCTGCATGACATTGAAAACACTGAATTATACATTTCGTGTCCTTTACACTCTTCTCTGGCAGAACTGCTAACAACTGCACAAAGAGAAGGCGATTATTCCAGGCTAAAGACAGTTCCTGGTATTTGTCTCTATAGCACGTTTCGCAAAAACGTATTTCAGACAATTTCTACTATTTAACAAGATTTCATTTTGTATTTTAATCCTCTTGTGGATTAGTGCATGTTCAGTAGGCACGGTTGCTGCTTTGGAATCCAACTCATCAGTGAAAATAATGAACGCAGCCAGACACAGGATATGCCCCATCAGAACTCATCCATCTTCAGCAGTGAATCAGTGACAACTTTCTTGTACTAGCACCTGATAAACTCATTATTTTCAGGTTTGTTTTTTTTTTTATAACTAGCTTATTTTACTTCCTCAGGAACTGGAGCTGAGTTGACTTATCCTAAAACTTTATGCTTTTGCCATGCTGTTCTTTCCCTTTTCACTCAAAAACCACAAATCTAGAGTTTAGTGGTTAATTTATTTCATACAACGCTACAAAGCAGGTCCAGTCCAAGTTCTGGTGTGGTGACATCTGCAAGATGACTCAGTACATAAAACACGGCTCGAGAGCAAAACCGTAACACCTTATAGCAGAACTGAAATAGGAATAAAAGCTCGTGCTAGCCAGAAAATAAAATATCTTTTTTTCTCAGTTTAAAAAAATTTAAATATTTCTATTTGCCTGTAGTCGTTTTTGTTTAATGTTCAGGAGCTTCTCAAACAGGAGACGTTTAAGGACAAAGTCTCCTAAACCATCCCTAGCACCCCTTGGCGTTTCTGCACCGCGGGGAGTTACCTCACGCACGCTGAGGCGCGCCATTGCTCTGCCTCACTCTGTGCAACGGTTTTTAACAATTACTTTACAGAGGAAAAGGGGCCGGTACCGGGGGATTACAGGCCAACCCTTCTTCAAAGGCCCGGTCCAAACCCACCGCCGCCACCGTCCCCCGCCCGCCGGGAGAGGACTACCTGGTCCTTCCCGCGGTCGCCGACCACCACGAAGAGGGCCCGCTGCCGCTCCGCCACGCCGTTCTCGATCAGGACGCGAATGCGGTTGTCCACCTTGCGGCGCTGCATGGCCGCGGGCCTCAAGTGTTTACATAACCATGGACCAACTTGTTTTAAACGTTGAGTTAAAGAACTGCAAAGACATATATACAGGTATGTTTAAGGCCATCAGAAAATTTAAATCTGACAATTAACTAAAACATAACTCTGAAGACTTATTTTATACGTTAGATGC